AATACATGGTATATTCATTTAAAAATTAATATTCTCATATCTATTGCTCTTAAGGGTAGCATACACTATAGCTGATTATTTGGACACACACTTATAATTCTAGAATAAGTTCTGGCTATCTGTAAGGTAAGACCATTGCTTTGTTTGAGCCCTACTGTCATCACCCCTTCATGAGTGTCACAGCCTGTCACTCATCTTAAAGAACAGAATAGATTCTGTTCTTTGAGTTAAATACATCTTTTCTCTGAAAGAATTTTAGTTTTCTATGCAAGTCAAAAGACCTAATTCACCACATCCAATTAATTCACATAAACTGCTGTGCTGCAAAGCTCCTACATGCTGGAGACAGAACCCTTTTTTAAAGGTCAGACCGGGTAGAAACAATGAAGGGTTGATGCGGACGAAGGTGGGTGGTTGATATTTATATGTAATAATGACTGATAAGAAGCTACTGAGAATTTCCTCTGATAACCATTTCTTACCATTTTGAGAATCTTAATAGTCTTGGGCTTCTATTCTCCCTCTCTTCAGTCCAGGGAGACCAACCTGCAAAATATGTTTAAATACAATAGACACATTGCCTCACCACAGGTCAGTAATGAAAAATGCCTCCTTAGAGGTTACAGGCAAATCACCACTTTGTGTGGTTAAGATAAGTTACATGCAAATTATTCTAACCACTGGGGTAGCTGCAGGAGCCCTCCAAGTACTCTATAGGTTTATATAGGGGACAAAGGAATCCCTAGTACCTGGCTGTGCAGAGACCAGGGCTATTCTTGGTGTCTGGTTCATCTTTAATTTGCAAGAGTTCCAAAGGTTTAGCAACTTAAAAGTAGAACCAAGTGATAAAAATAGACTGTTTTCTGGCTGCTCTTTGTTCCCAGACATTCTACTGGCAGTGTATTTACAATCAAGACGGCAGAATAGGAATAAGCCTTCCACCGTAGTGTAATGCCTCGGAGTGGATATTTTTGGAAATGGCACTGCATTACATAACCTTCCGTATTAAAAAAAAAAAACAAAAAAAAAACCCTACGGGGGGAGGTCAGGAATATACACCATTATGCCCTTCTCCCTAAAACAAATAAACATTAATGTAGTGCTGTAGTGATTCACCCTCCACCTTTATTCTATCAGAACACAGCTCTTTCCTTAATGTAAGTTATGGCAAAATTGAGATGAATGGAAAAACTAAAAGTTCTCCAAAAGGAGATCAGAGGTTATTAGACTTTTCCTATAAGGTTATTAAGGACACATATAAATACAAATCAGGTTATTAGTATCACCAAGAAAAAAAGGAGTCGTTTAAGCTCCCCACCCCAAGTTCAACTGCTTTGTAAGAAAATGCAGAAAAAAAAGTGCTGCAAGAGCTAACGCAGGAAAAGACCCCCAGGCGAAGCAGCAGCCAGGATGAAAGAGTAATCAAGTGTAAGGATTTTATAAGGGAATGGGGAAGCTTGCATGCACCAAAGTGCATTTAATGCAAAGAAACAAAACGGCTCCTAACAATGAGCAAGAACAAAATTAACCACAGTAGCAAGCAAACCCCACCCCTTCTCAAAAGAATTCATTTCTCTTAACTTGAAAAAAAAAAAAAAAAAAAAAAAAAAGCTCAAGTTAAATTCCAGCCTTAATGCGGTAGGACCAAAATGACAGAATTTCGCCAAGGTATAAGCTTCAGCTCTTTAAAAATTACAGGGAGGAAGCATGAACTCTGCAGGGCTGAAGGGTCCAGCTTAGAGCAACGGCAAGGAATCCACACAAAAGAGAAAGCAGCGCTCCCAGCCGGGGATGAGAATGGCATATACTTACAGACAAAAGCCCCGCTCCCTGTTCACTTTCTCTCCTCTCTACACCTGAAACACAAATGTGGATGAAAAAGGGCATCATGCTAGAAAGACAGCTGAGGGGGTTGGGGGGGGGGGGAAGAGGAGGGGAAAGGGGTGGAGGAAGAGGAGGGCAGAGGGGGAAGGGAAACAAAACCCCAACCCGCTTCACTTCCAAGAAGTGCAGCCTTGGAAAAGGAGGGGAAGGTTTCCCTGCCTTTGCGCGCTCTCCAAGAGTGTGTCTTGTGTCTTCCTCTAAATCAATTTCTCTCTCTCTCTCTCTTCTCTCTCTCTCTCTCTCTCTCTCTCTCTCTCTCTCTCTCTCTCTCTCTCTCTCTCCTCTTTCTCCTCTCTCTCTCTCCCCGCCACCCCTCCCCTCTCTTCTGCTAGTGTACTAGTGAACAATGAGCTAATTCTGATGGAGCTGGCACAGCGCCAGCGCCCCAGCCTTGCTGCCACCGTGCTGCCGCCGAGGAGCCAGACTGCTTACTCGGCAGGAATCAGCGGCTCGGGCCCGGTGGGCGCGCGGCCAACACGCGTGCGCGCTCCCGGCCTCCCGCACCCGCGCCCGGGGCGCCGTCCCGCGAGTCGCACTGGGCCCTCTGGGGCCCCAGCCCAGCGGCTGCCGGCCCCGCCTCGGAGTGAGGCGGGCACCCCCTGCGGCCTCCCACGGCCCTCGGGCTCCGCGGCTGGGACGCGCGCTGGTTGTCCTGACAAATAAGGAGGCGGAGGAGGTGGCTTGGGGGCGCGCCAGGCGCGGGGGCGGCCCCGCCGCTCCGCCCGGAGGCCGCACTGTAATAATAAACCTGCGGCCGAGTGCGGCCGAGGGAACCGGGACAGCGGCGGCCGCCTTCCCTTTTATGCGCCAGTCCGGAGCTCGCACAAAGGGCCAGGCCCGTCCTGCCCTGGGAAGCCCCAGGGGAGGGAGCCCCGAGGAGGGGAGCCCCCAGGAGGGGGGCGGAGGGGGAGCCCCGCGAAGGGAGATCGGGCACTGCGGGCTGGAGCCACGCGCGCGCACTCGGACACGCTCATCCACGCGTGCACGCGCACACACAGCCAGAGCCTGACGGGAGCAGCCCCAGGACCTCCTGCCCTCTTGCCTCCTTCCTTAGAGGATTTCAAAGTTTGCATGCTCAGCCCCTTGCAAACTAGTTTTTTCTTTTTCTTTTTTTTTCAAGTTGTGGACTGCTCAGGAAAATTTAAAAAAAACACGCGTTTCTGGTATGCTTTTTTTCTTTTTAAACTCATGTAAAAATCGATTTTTTTGTTTTTGTAGCAATGTAAATAGCTCAACAGTTTTAAACAAGTTGGTGGTGTTGCCAACGAGGCAGGATACCGTTTTATGGTAACTGTCAGATGTTTCAGGGGGAGATGATTTCCTAATTAAATTACCTTGCTAAGAATAAAGTAAAGATGTAAAGGATCCTGATGTCTTCTAGATTTGCTATATTTTACCCCTAGTCACTAAAAGCGGTGTTTTTCATTTTAACAAAGAGAATAAGACAAATTTACAGAACTCAATTTTAGGCCATATGTTTACAGACTGTCTAATTTTTTTAGATTCAAGCGCTCTGGGTACAGAAATAGCAAACCTTGAAAAGTAATCCTTTACACTCTTAATTCTGAAAGAATAACTATAAGCTTATTAGAAGACTGACTTGCTCTTCAAACTACAAAAGCCACCAGAGCAGGAACTATCTAGACTAATGTAAGTGCAACGTTGAGAAACCCAGGAGTTTTCTGAATCTAAAATGTGTCTTTTTTTCTGCGGTGGTGTGGGGTGGAGTGAGTGGGACTTATCTGAAGATGGCTAAGAACAAAGGGAAGAAACACAGTTGGACAAATGTTCCTAATGTGTTCAGGGACAGTGTTTACCTGTTAGGAAAGTGCTGGAAGCAAAGTGTGAGGAGGAAGACTATGGATATGGGAGAGGAAGAAACCTGAAGGATGTTTCTCTGGTGTGAAACCCCAAAGGCTGGTCAAGAGGTCTACACAGGAGACCTTTGGCTTTCAGTCCAGAGTCAGGCTGGAACAGAAACCCAAGAGGGTACCGGCTCACCAAAGACTACGAAAATCCATCCCAGCAACCTGTGTTCAGAACACATCCACACATGTACACATTAGTTCTACATGGGAAGACACAGACACATGGACTTTAGTGCTTATACAAAGCTTAAGATGTCCTTTAAAAACACAGGACAGTTTTGAACTTACTAAATGACAGTTTTCTTTATTGTAACTATAGAGTTCGGGTGACAGATTTTTAAGATTTAATGCTGGCTCAGAATCACAGCCTAGTCACCTGTTGTGTTCCAGAAAGTACGGGTGGGCCCTACAGTTCTCTCTCAGTATTAGATTTTGCCTCTGCAATTGTCCCCAACCTTCAATAAACTCTTCCCTCCTCAGAACCGCCCCCCACCTCAAATGACTGAAATACAATCATCCAAGAAACACTTTTGAGTCTTCTCTAGGTATAGGGCCAACTGCTTAACCTCCTGAAGTTCACTAGGTTACTTCACTCAGGAACTTTAGCAATAGCTGTTTCACAGTGCCCTTAACTCTTGTGCTCTGCCCCCACCCCCACCCCTACCATCTAACCTACAGATTGAACTACAGACCCACTGTCCACTCTATACTTTGCTCTGTTATAAAGGGCACACATAGCCTCAAAATGACCACAGACTGCCTCTGTAGCCTTGTCAGTCATCTCTCTCAGTCATGAAGTATCAGTCCTTCACTCTGCTCTGAGTGGTTATGCCAGGTATGTATTCATCCCTCATCCATTACCAGCAAGGAAACAAAGTCTTTCATCAATTTACTTAAATGAGGAAATCTCAAACCTTGTTTATCAGCATTTGATGGGACAGAGAATGGGGGGGGGGGCAGACATTGGCCTAACGTAGGATACCAGTGGCCTATCGTAGGATACCAGTGGCAAACCACAGTTGTGACAACCTAATATATGTCCAAACACTGCCAAATGCTCCTGGGGAGGCAAACCCACCCCTAGTTGACAAATAGTGACTTACACAATTGGGCCTATTCCTTGAGGTAGAAAGATTTTCTAGACACTTGAACAAAATCAAGGTTTTCTTCAGAATGGAAAAAAAGAAGTAGGCAATGCCTTTATTGTCATAGTATTTGGAGTGTGAGGTTAGAGGATGGAGAGAGAACCAAAGATTTGGTGTAGTCTAAAAGGGACAGTCATAGACTTCTACACAAGACACACTGTGAACACCAAGTTCTAAATCGAACTTGGGATTCAAAGAAAGCTTTCACAAGAAGGAAATGCCTACAGTGGATTTTTGTGGAGATTGAAGAAGTCAGCAAATTGAGAAAGGGCAGGGGAGCATTTCAAGCAGAGGCAGGATGAGATCATAAGCCTAGAAATTTGGCAGCTGGTGACACACAGGTGGCATGAGAAAATAGCTTGGCTTAGGACCTGACCTGTGCATTCTGTCCCTGGTTGAAAATATACCAAAGAATCGTACATTTGATGAGTAGATCCAAAGGCAAGGATGCAGAGTTTTCCTTCTTGGATAATTCATTCTCCAGCATGTCCTCACATAGAACAATGCATCTCATACATATATTCCTACAGCTTTGTTTCAGCCAGTGTCTTCCTTGGGATAACAAATTCCAGGCAAAAGGCTATATAGAAAAGTAGTTAAAATCAGTTCTGTGCAACTTTGGATAAATGATTTAATCTTTTAGTCTCAGTTTACTCATCTTTCAATTGGGTTCATAACACAGTGCTGTGTTACGTGACACTGTGGGCAATTTTTTTTGGCATATAGGTGACATTGCAAACATGGTCTCATAGACAGATTTCTAGAATAGAACTTAGATGATGTTCTGCCCTGGTTTTTCACCTTAACCTCAGCTCTTGTCCTCTGGTAAAAGTGTATGATGTGCAGGTCCCCAGTGGGTCTCTCTGTTACACAACCTTTGGGTCTTTTTGCTTGGTGTTCCTGCTGCTGGAATGGACCCCGTCCCCTTCTTCAATTTGCTGGCTCTTGCCCCTTCTTCAAAACTTTAGCTTAGATGCTCAGTGTGGAGAGCCACACCTGTTATCCCAGCACTGGGGAGACTGAAGAAAGAGGATCTTGAGTTTGAGACCAGCCTACCAACATAGCAAGACCCTATCTCAAAAACAAAACAAAATGATACTGGGCTGGGGAGATATCTCAGCCATGCAAGCATGGATCTCCAGCATCCATGTAAAAAACCGAATGAAGTTCTCGGGAGGCAGAGACAGGAGGCACCCTGAAGCTTCATAGCCAGCCTATATAGCCAAACAGGTGAACTCCAGGTTCAGTGAGAGATCTTGTCTCAAAAAATAAGATGAAGAATAATTGAGGAAGAGATTTGACTTTGACCTCCGACCTCCCCATGCACACACATGAACATATATATGCATATTATTCAAAATAATACAAAAATAGTTTAGAGATTGGGGGGTATAACTTAGTGAAAGTGCCATCTGCACAAATCTCTGGATTCAGTCTCAACCACCTCATAAAAAACAAAACAAAATGCATTATGCATCCTTCTTTTAGGAAACTATCTTGGAACCTCTGGTCCAATATAGAAAGTTTCTGTGTTCACCTGTACAGAACTGCACACTTGTCTTTACCACATGGCATGGTAACTTTGACTTTATTTTTCTGTCTTTATCACTAGGACTATAAATTTTATGAAGAAACAGACTGTGACATTATTGATTGCCTGCCTAACATCCATTGTCCCTTTCCTCTTCATTAATGAAAAGGTGGTATTTTTCCTGGTATTCATCCCTCCTCAACAATTTACAAGCTCCAGGTAAGGTAGCTGAGAAGCAGATCCTAACTATTTTAATCAATGTATACTGACATCCTTGGGTTCGATAAGAGACAGGGATGATGAACATGGAATGTAGACTCAACCAATCCGACTAATGGGAAAGAACTGTATTTCATACCTGAGTTAAGAAATGAGAGATGGGGCTACAGAGATGGATCAGCAGTTAAGAGCACTGGCTGCTCTTGCAAAGGACCCAGGTTTGGTTCCCAGCACGCACATGGGGACTAGCAATCGTCCATAATTCCAGTTCTCCCTCTTCTGACTTCCCTGGGCATTGCACAACATGGTTACACTTTACATACATGCAGGCAATGCACTCATACACATAAAATTTTAAAAATATATGTTTTAAAAAGAAATTTGAATGCAATCCTTAAAGCAATACAAACAAATTAAAATTTTAATCTGAGGGGCTATAGAGATGGCTCAGTGGTTAAGAGCACTGGCTGCTCTTGCAAAGACCTAGATTTGATTCCCAGCACTCACCTGGAAGCTAACAACCATTTGAAACTCCAGTTCCAGGTGATTCAACTCTCTCTTCTAACCTCTGCAAGCATTGTTTGATATGGGTGAACTTATACACATGTAGGCAATGCACTCATACACATAAAACAAAAATAATAACACATTTTTTA